CATCCCTAACCAAAATGCAACTCTAGGTTATAAGCAAAAACTTTCAATTCGGCCCATTATTAAGCCCACATCATTCAAGTGGTTTTTACTTGTTCCATCTAGAAACATTTGGCCATTCATAAGCAAAGTATTTAGACCTTCATGGAAATCTAACAAAGKACATTTTTATGAAAGTAATGCCTTGGCTTTATAGACCCATAGCTCTCCTCTCAAATTCGTCATTTTCGAAAGTCCTTGCCTCAACTTTAACAAGGGCTTGGTAATACAACCTCATTTTATTTCTTCTACATACCGGTTAACTTTCATACATCTAAAACTAACTCAATCTATGTATAGGTTAGTCCTATTTGAAGAGTTTTGTTTTTTTTTTTTCTGAAAATGTTTCAAGCATATTATGTTTGCCGTTCTTTATGTGGATGAGACGATATCATCGTTATAGGATTGTAAGGGCATGTACAAGTAGAGATGAGTATGGGCCACTGCATYGTAGAGGCCCATACTCATACCAGATGCTATCGATACTGATATGATACGCGTACACCCTGTATCATATGTGTCTATCGATATTTCAATTATTGTTTTCAAGTTCATTAAAACATAATTTTAGGATGTGTTTGGTTTGAAAGAAAAGTAGGAAAAGGTAAGAAAATGTAGGGAAAAGGAAGGAAAATGTATTTCATCCATTGAGATACCCATGTTCTTTTTTTAGATTTATGTGGGGTCCATAAAAAATTCATTTTCCTTGGGTATCCTAGGTGGGTAATTAACTTTTCCACATGGGAAAAAGTTGCCATTACTTGGATGGGACAAAATTGACCTTTTAATAAYGGCTTTTTATGGTTAAAATGGTCATTGTCTTATTTACCTAGGAAATAAAAGAACATGGGTAAATGRACTTGCATGGGTAAGTGTTACCTGAGAAGCACTTACTTATGTAGTAGCTTCCAAAAAAATTAGCAGGGCCTTAGAAGAGAAATTATAAAAAATAGCAGTAGGGAAGATCAAAAGTAAAATGAAATATAATAATGAATCATGAACTAATGAAAGCATGGAGAACCAAGTTAATACCAAAATATGATAGTCAGCTGGTGACATTTAATAAATCTAAAATTAGATGTCTGAAAAGTTAAAAAGCTATTATTTGGGTCTGAAATTTGAAAAGAAGTAGAAATGTTTTTCTTCTTTTTAGAGGTTTTGAAAAGATATGATCATTTGAGTTGGAGCAATTCCCCAACATCTGATATTTGGAAGTTTACTATTTTACCCTTAGAAATAGACCATTTGATAATAGTATGAATAATAAAAAGAATATTAAATAAAAATAGTATTTAATAATAAAAAGATATTATGATTTTTTTGAAATAAATAATTGTTTATTATTTAATTAATAATATTATTTATTTATTATTAACTAATAATAAATAAAAGCATTTTAATTATTACTAATAAACATTTTGTTAAATATTCTTACTACTATATAAATATTAATACTAAATATTATTRTTTATTTAAATTAAAATGATATCATTTATAAATTAATAATAATAAGTATTTAGTAGTAATATACTTATTTTTAAATAATAATAGTATTACCATTATTACTATTATTGTGAAATAAATATTATTACTAATATTATTATTGATTT